TGTCACCATTTCTCAGTAGAATTTCTTCAAATTTTGTAGTTATATTGCTTTGAAGTAAAGAAAATGTTCTGCCACCAAAAAATATAGGTTGACAGAATTTAAAGGATTTTAAATGGAAATTTATGTAAAAAGGAGTGAATTTTGAAACAAAATGAATGACACAAATTTAGGCAAAATAATGTCAATAAAAATGATACTGACATAGATTAGTATTGCATTAACGTATATCAATTTAATAAATGCTGAAATTGAGGAAAACTAATTATCTATAAACGATTTAAAATTGACATCAATACACTCCTATGACCTTAAGGTAAACTGATTGCAAAGACATACCCTGCTCCAAAATTTGAATGCCTTGCATGTTGATTTTAATTTAGAACAACTTTTGTTAGGAAATAGTCAACTTTCGGTAGAAAACAACATAAGTATCTTTAGACATGTGCATCATTACATTAAATCCAGCAATAGGTTTTGATAGTTATAATTAAATTTCTATTCTTATTTAAGTTGTTATGTGTTTATGAAATTGTATTTCATTATTTTGCCTGATTTATTTGTTACATTGATTCTGTTCATTTTGAAAGTACTCTACCAGGATGCATGTCATGAAATCTGTATAATTTATATTTTATTCAAATGCGGATCGATTTCTCAGTTTACAAGTTTAATTTTCTAGGTAACACCCCTCCCCTCCATCACCCCCACCCCCTCCCACCCCACATTTCCTTCCTCAACCTATCTTTTTCCCTTTCCCCAAAAACATAGACACTATTTTTACAATATGTATTGAGGAGAGGACTCTATTAAGTTGTAATAACTTGTTGTCCGATCCATTTGTATATTTGTACAATAAAATATGTTTAAACTAAGGATATGCCGCGCGAGGCCAACTGATCCCAGCATAAAAACTTTTGTCATGTAGGGAGCACCGCCACCTTTTAGCGCGTCCACATTATCCTACATGCCTGGCCACAATAGTCCTAGGACTCTGGTGGAAACACTTTCCCCTCTTTCGACAATACCCATTCTAACCCCCCTTTTGACAGTACCCATTCTAACCTCCCTTTTGACAATACCCATTCTAACCCCCCTTATGACAATACCCATTCTAACTCCCCTTTTAACAATACCCATTCTAACCCCCCTTTTGACAAGACCCATTCTAACCCCCCTTGCAACCCATTAATGAAAATATCATTCCCAGTTTCGGACAAATGTACACTGTCATGAAAGAGTTCTGGATATTTAGCTTTAATGTCTGGATGCTTAATGTAGGCTCCGCCAAAACACAGAACAGCCTTCGCACAAATCCCATTAAATTTCTGACGTGCCCTCTCCATCGCCTTGTATTTATATTGAAGGCGAGGCAAAATCTGGGACCAAATAATAAGACTGTCTGGGAATTGCTCCTTCACCAAAGTTAACATGTTTTTTTGCCAACCTGCACAAATCACCAAAGGCCATCATCCCGATGTCACTTCCACCGCAGTGTATCAACAAGAAAGATGGGGTATCCCCCACCTTCAACAACACATTCAGTTTTGCCTTCATTTTCTGTAGAGTCAAACCACTTTATTTTTTTTAATTTTTTAATTTTTTTTTAATTTCTAAATTTTATTCAACTATTCAAAGATTTTTTAAACAGATTTAACAGAGGTATCTTTTCCACTTGCTTGATCCAGTGTCGTAGAGATGATGCTGAGGGAAGGGGAAGATAACTCTTTCCCTAAAAGTAATTCCCAGTAAGGGAGGTAACTTGAGTAAAACAAACGCTTTATTTTTCAGATAATAAAGGAAAATATAAAATGAAATAGTTATGATAATTTAAAGTGAATTAGGAGCTTAACCAACAACCATGTATCATATATGTGTTGTATCATGTCATGTAAAAAAATGAAAATGAATAAAACATAAATTAAAAAATAAAAAACAAAAAATAATTCGAGGTTCCAATATACCGCTTTGTCACAACCGAGTTCGTAGTTCGTCTTAAAGCGGTTCACAAAATATTATCCGTGGTTATAGGGCCTTTGCAACCAGCCGATATCTTTCTCAACTCCCTGGGGAGCATACAGCCGGTGCTGCCATTTCAGCGCTCACGGCTAGCATTCAACAATTCTAGCACTGCCCAGCAACGTACTCATTTACAGCTAAGTAGACTGGATCAGGGATAATGCACCTGATCGTGGACATACTTCCTGCCAGGTATTTCGAGTTCTTGATAAGGTGTTCTAACCACAAGCTGTCCAAAAATGTCAACTAGAGTCTTGGAAATATTGTAACCAATGGAACTTTATGATGTATGTATGGGTTCTCCTGTTGGTGGAATCTATTCTGCTGTGGGATACAGGTATCTGCATTTTGATCGTAATCCACAATAAAAAATAGAGAGAATACCGAAGTGCGAACCAACCTTCATTTGAATTCATAATTGATAATATTAGAACAAAATATGATAATAGGAGATATTATCAAACTTAAAATGGAGACTATTGAAAAAACAAAGCAGAATTACAACAGGTGTTCGGAAAGGACATCGTTTTCTGCTTCATCGACATGTAAATTTTGGTAGAATCCAAGTAATGTCACGTTCTGATAGAAAAAATTCCGGAGGAATGTACGTCCTATTAACAGCTATGGTCATTTGAATTTCATCAATTTAACAGGGCACAAAAATGAGCTTAACTAAAGTAGTAACATATTTCCGAATGAGATCGTGATGGCAACCATTGCGTGTCAACAGTCTTCCATCAACCTGCATCTTTGGAAACCCTTTGTTGCAAGTTTGTCCATCAGTAATCGACATCCATCACGGAAATCATGTTATTCGGGGCATGTTCTTCAATACGTTTGAGAAGCAGGGAAGTAGCAATCCAAAAGAGTGGCTATGTTCGAGGCGCATAGTTGGATAAGTTTGAAGCCATTCATTCGTTGTTGTCCTGAAGTATGAGAACATCTTTGCCCATATGATCCTCGGTTATGACGACCGTTGTCTTAACTTAGTTTGTTCAGAACGATGGCATATCTGTCTCTATATTCAGATCATGGTCCATATTTGTCTTATCATTGTCAGCTGATATGATGATAGAATTCTCTTTTTTCAGTGCGACATATTTTTTCGACGTCATATTGCCATTTGGTAATGGGATTGTGTTTGGGTCACTGGTACAGTTCTAACCTGAGACAGTGCTGCTATAATTGCTGTTGGTGATAATCTGTTTTGAAAAGTTCACTCCTATTCAGCTAAGTGTCATTTAAATCTTTATCTACGTCATTTTGCTTGGTGTTCTCTAACAGATGGTTTATCAAATCAGGTGGCGTTGTTTAGTCTTCATATGTAGTGTAACTCTCTAGTAACGTGCATGTGGCAATCTTCTATGCAACATGTATTCTTACTGACAACTATAGTACTGATTGTACATGTAGTTACTGGACCGACTTCAAGGTTATACATGTATGTCACTACATCTCAGCGTAAACGTCACTACATCTCAGCGTAAACACGACGTGATTTCTTTCTCTCAATACGTTCTTCCAAGACTCCCAAATGTACGCACGTGTTCGACAGCATCTTGTTATACTTTATTTGGATAATTCGAAACATGTTTTTCATTCATACGGCACAACCAGTGAAATGTTCAGGTGACGTGTTGATGACTAGTGTGATATACACAATGAAATGGAAAAGTCATTATAACTACGCTTTAAGCATATATACACTCAGTTCAAGCGTAAATTTTATCTTGCGGAAAATAGGAATTCGTTATTGTTATAAAATGGTTTCCTTAAAGTGGGTGCTGGCGTGGAAACATTTCATTTTCATAAAGATATTTTTTAGTTCTTCAAAATATACAGCCTGGACATTATTTTACCGAAAGATTTTGCATTTATTTGACTTTTGGTGGGGATTAAGATGACAGAGATTCCGAGCAGCTCCCTTGTGCTTCAGTACTTCATCAGGGTTTTTTACATTCGATGCATTTTATGTTCCTAGAGAAGAAACATTTTTTTTGGGACTCCGATATTTGAGTCACCGACTTTTTAAGACCCATGATATCTCTTATTATACCAGTCTCATTTAAATTTTAAAAACTGTTCAGAACTCGCATGAAAAATATTCTACAAAAATCACTGGTCACATTACTAAGACATCCATCTATGTTATGAATGCATATGGTGGACATCTACATCTATACATACTGTTGTAGAGAATTTAAAAAAATAAAGTTTGAAATGTCCTTTCGTCATTGACAAACATCTATTTAAGATTAAAGTATATTTGTTTTTATACTTGTTTTGGACTATTGCTCAAATTCTGTTTTATAATAAACTCCATTTATATTCTAGCTTAAGACTCAAATGAGAAAACAAAGGTTAAAATATCTTCAATAAGATTCATCAGTTTGGAAATATGTAGTATCAATTTTTTACTTTTATACACAATGTACATATTAAACAAGTCCCAACCTTTCAAAACGACTGGTCCCTTTGTCAAGCTTTAACTGAATGAGCGATCTGTTTACCTGTACAACAATGTGACAAAATTGTAAATTTAATATGTCACACGAGTGCAGGACGTTTGGCCAATAAATTAAGTGTCTACACACTGTACAGTATAGGTTTGGCCTATAAATTAAGTGTCTACACACTGTACAGAATACTGGTTGGACAATTACAAAGGGCTGCAACCCATGCTCTCTTGTTGTAACATTGAAAGTATTTTTATCAGATGTACTTGATTTTAGTCTGATCTTTTCGTTACATTTCCTAATTATTCACTTTTCAATGACAACCACAATACAAAACTGATGCTTCTTTCTCTTTATTCACTCACACATTCACATTGTAGAGAAACACCCTTCCTTCTCCCGATCCTTCATATTTCCCAGAAATAAATGATTATTTGCTGGCACAATCTTTCATTCGTTTCCCTCAACTTTTTCTTTTTTATTTCATACTGTAATTTTTGGAAGAAATTCATATTTCAATGGTCTAAAACATTTACATAAGATGATAAACAATGCCATACAAAACAGAATTGAGTTAACAGACCTTTCCCACAAAAATCTCTTGAGTTGCAACAAAATGTTAAGACTATATCTAGTTGCAAGTCAAGAGCACAAATTGTATGTGAAACATTAAAAGACCAAATATATCATTCATTAAAATAGAAACTAAAACACTTTTACTAAAACAAGAGAGTGATTTTGTGTCCCTCTTGCATTCCATCTCAAAGGATTGTCACCAGTGATATATTTTACTTCTGTTGAATTAAGTGTTTCTATTGATGTTACGCTCCTAGCCTAGTGACATCGTGTACACTGTATCTGTTGTGACTTCCTATATCCCTAGTTATATCTTTTTTCTGTCGTGACATATTGTATTCGTATTGGCATCTTGTATCCCTAGTGACATCTCATGCCCAAAGTGATATCTTATGCACAAAGTGATATCTTGTGCCCCTAAAGACAAACCAGGTATTTTTTTCAGCGACATATCGTCCCCCTAATATCATGTTTTGCCCTTAGTGATATATAACATCCATTGTATCATCATGCATCACTCTGTAACTTGTTGTGTTTCTAGTGACCTAAAGTCGCCTTTCCACACATTGTGTCCCTGTAACGAATGCTGTCCCCGGTAGCATATGGCCACTCCATTGACATGCCCCTGTTGACAAATAGTGCCCTAGAGACAAATTTCTCATCTAGTGACATTATCTTTAGCAACTTTTGGAGTCCACATACTTTATCCCGAGTCACTTAATCCCTCAGTATTAACAGACATTTTGAGAGAAGACCACAAAAATGAGGATTTGACAAGATTAAGATTTGCTGCTGCTTGTAGTGATTGCACCCATCCTTGTTGGGTCCTGTGAGGGGTAGTGAACTGGCATGTTGGCCCCCATCATCAACCTAGGAGGAGGGCGCATTGGCATCATTCCAGGGGGAGGGGGAGGTAACCGCACACCTACAAACATGGAAAAAACATCGTGAACATTTCTCTTCACAAGGGTCTTTTCAATTTATGATTCAAATATGATCTTATTAAAAAATAATTCTTATTCAGATAATTCTTGTTAAAAAATAACTCTTATTCAAAGTGTATGAAAATGTTATTTTTAGAGAAAATGAGATTCAGTTATACTGATTTTAATACATCCAACTTTTGGTTTGTTATGATACCAACCTGGTGGGGGAGGTCCACGGAACATCCCGAACGGCATCATGTGTGTGCCTGGGTGAATTAGGCGAGGTGGCATTCCTCTTGGGGGGCCAGGTGGCATGGGAAGGTGATTGGGGGCATTGTTTAGGTTAAAGAAATTATTTGCAATTTCTTCTGGTGGTGGAGGCAAGGCTGCAAAACAACAGAAACATTAAAAACATGAGGCGAGGCTGCAAAACAACAGAAACATTAAAAACATGAGGCGAGGCTGCAAAACAACAGAAACATTAAAAACATGAGGCGAGGCTGCAAAACAACAGAAACATTAAAAACATGAGGCGAGGCTGCAAAACAACAGAAACATTAAAAACATGAGGCGAGGCTGCAAAACAACAGAAACATTAAAAACATGAGGCGAGGCTAGACATACAACTACGTTATCATTTCTTAAACAATATAGGTAATATAAACAATATAGGTAATATAAACAATATAGGTAATATAAAGGTAATATAAACAATATAGGTAATATAAACAAAAAGATTAATATTATAAACCTACTAAGAATAAAAATAAACAGGTTTATATAACAATGTCAACATCAATATCAAAGTTACTAAACATGAGTATGACATCAATATTACCATTACACTGATACAGTATTGGAAGTCAGTTCATGTTCATGATGTTGTAATCACTAAAGGCACTATGACATAAGTACTGGAAATCGATGTAAAATCTATAAAATACCAAAAGCCCATATAAATAAATTCAAATTAATTTGAGATGTTACGTATAAAAGGCCTTTGATAGGTCAATAAAAATAGATATCATATGTGAGGGCATAACTACAATTATAACATCTACAAAGTTCCCATTTTGCATTTTAAGCCTAGATGGCAGTTGTTAATGACACTGACATGTCATGAAATTGATTATTAATGAAGTTATGAACAATACTGTGACCCTGAAAGGTCAATGTATTTCACTTTGAATATTCCTGACATCACCATTGCATGGCAGAGTGACCCAGATTTTTGAAGAAAATGCTCAAAATATCTTAAGATTATGTTGTTCTTAGTGGTTTTTGCTTATATGAATTAAAATAGAGATAACCATTTTTTTTTAAAAAGAATTCAATGTTACTGAAATAAAGTCATTGCAACCAAAATAAAACTCTTGACCAAATACATACCCCCTGGAAGGCCTGGTACTGGCTCAAGGGCCTTTTCTGACTCCTCTCCATCTTTCTTTGTGACCCCCATTTGGGCTTGAGATTTACCCCACTTGATGTTGAGACGTCGCCCACCCATGATCAATTTATTAAAAGACTTCTCTGTGGCATTCTCAGCTGCCTGTCGTGTTGTGAACTGTACAAATGCACACTGCTGTTTACTGGCGATGTTGATCGATCTGATTTCTCCAAACTGGTAGAAGTGGTCCCTATGGTGATAAGGAAGTTTAACACATGGTTTACTGCTAGAACTTTGACAAGGCAATTTGATACAAGATTTAATGTTGCTGGAGATTTGACAAAAACGTTTGATACATGAGTTACTGCTATAGCTGTGACAAAGAACTTTGATAGGTCTTTAAGAACAAGGCAGAGACCCGATCCTCAATTCGATTATGTGACACTATCACATACAAAATTTGGCAATAGCATGTGACAGAGTAGTTGAGATGTGTTCTGGAAAAGTGACACACAGACAACCAGTCAGATGGTCAAAGCTAGAGCCCCATCTGGTAGTACTAGAAAGGGACTAACAAACAGCTCTACAATTATTAAACCAATCAAATAATTTCGTGAACTAGTGGTAAAAGGTTGTGAAATGTTACTAAAATTCACGAATCAATGATACAAGGGAGACAACTGAAATAATATGGCAAAATACATACCTGAGTTCTGTCTCTCCTATTTTGTCTCCAAGATTTCCAACATACAACGTTGTGATAGCTTTATCCTCTGGGGCATCTAACTTCGGCATATTAGTATAGCGGTTCATCAGTTTGTCTGCCACTGGGTCATTCATCCCATAGAATCTGTCCTTGATGTTTTGATCTGCCAGAGGATCATCAGGATCTGTCGGTTTGTCGTGTCTGTGTAATCAAATCATTTCATGTTTAAAGAACATCCAAATATGTTGGTTTACAGAGTGAGAAATATTTTTTAATATAACATATAAAGAGGATGATTGTAGATCTGTTTCCACCATAAGGTGTTAAGTCTGTAAATCGATGATGGCAAAAATTCTGCTTATAGTAATGGTGGCTTTTAAAAAAAAAAGAAATTCACCCCAGAAGTTTGAAACACAAAGGGGATGATTGTAAATATGTATGTGAAGTTTCATTCCAACTGGATAAGAAAAGAAGTCCTATAAAATGTTTCATAACAATCTATCAGTTTCTTTATCATATCATATCATACACAGGACAGTAGAGATTTGTATATTATCATATACGATGAGTCGTCACAGCTATATTGCTGTGTCCAGTAGTGGTGTACCGATAAATGGAAACATCCATTAAATCGAGCTTACCATGAGGTCAATTCGATAATCGATTTAGCACATGAAAGATCGATTTTGAAACTTTGTCAAGAAGAAAATCGTTTTTGTAGATGTGTCACTAAGAACTGAAATTCTTAAGAAACATACAGTTGCTTTTCATGTTTAATCAAAAATAAAATGTCCCTTTCACTCGTTCTTGTTGATTCTCACTTGAATCATGCTGGCATTCAAGCGTGGTAGCTAACAGCGTCATTACGTAATCAAGGTCAGTGCTGTGTTTTGTAGGTACAGTACGGATAAATTTATAACTGACAAAATCCGGAACTACAACAAATGGCAGCCACCGAAATGAAGACACTTTCTTTTTCAGCGAAGGGATGGTGCGACATACACTTTACAGTACCAACTCAATTTTACTCAATTTCAAATAGGTTAACTTAATTTAAGTAATAAATGTCATATCAAGTACTGAACCCAAAATGCATTACCTGATTTGTTTGTGTTACGATCGCTATCATCATGACTCGTCTGCAGGAGATAGGAAAAGGTATGTTCACTTCTCAAACGTAATCTACCGGTCATTGTCAATTTCTGAAGTACCCTTTCTCATCATATGAATGTCTCTTAGATAAAGTTATTACCAAATTAACACGGTAGTTATAACGATAGTTTTTAATGATTAAAAAATGTCAATTTATTCAATGTATTCTATTTGGCGCTTATTTCAACCGATAATCGATTACCGATCGATCTTGAATGTCTGATAATCGTTTTTCCAAATCGGACTGATTCCCAGCACTAGTGCCCAGTATCATTTCATGTCGTGTATCATATAGTTGGATTGCTGTTGTTGATTCACATGTGGAGTATTGTTATGATATTTGTTGTGTGTAAGACCATACCTGTACGGACACTCCTCTCCCCTCTTACACTCCCCCTTCACCCAGAACGAGCAGATGTGGGGTCTATTCCGTTTGTAGTATGGTGTGGTACGGGCAAGTTTGAGCAGCATGTCACTAGGTGTCTGGGCCTTACCCAACTGTCCTGGAGCAACAGTGCCATCCCCATTGGCGATCTGAAAATTACAGTTATCAACTAGTCAAGCAATTTGTCATGGATTGTTCTACTGTGAAAAGTTTGAATTTTATTATACTACAGAGTTATATCTTACTTCTTCATGTATATATCAATATCCTGACTTGTAATTAACAGATTTAGTTACCAGGTAGTATCAAATACAGAGCAAACAGAGACAAATTGTTTCACCCACCCAAATTACCATTGTGATACATATAGGACATAAACCCTGTAGCTTTATAATATATGAAAAAAGATTCCAACTTATGTTACATATCATGTCATCTTTATTTTTGTGTCCAAGTGTTGTTTGTACTGAATTGGCCGTGGCTAGTGCACTGTACTAACCTCGTTCTCCATGTTCTGTGTGTAGTACTCTTTGTTAACATCAGATTTTGGCATGTTGTCCTGGATCTTCAATGCTGCATCCCTCACCTGCACAGGTAAGCCTGTGGACAGAGACAAATGATTACAAAATCTTTCACCTGTACTGATTATAGATCAATTCACCTTTAAAAATATGGTGACTGTCAATGTTACCTTCTTTTAATAAAAGATTACACGAAAAATTCATAAAATTTAATTAAAACACTGGCATATATATAAATTGTCCATAAATCAAGTCCACCTGTTAAGAGTATTCAAATGAATAAATAGAAGAAAATATCAAAAGACATGTTTACCACTTAACCCACTCATTTTAATCTGAAAATCACTTTCCTCATTTAGAAAAAGGGAAGTCTAATCAGATTTCTAAATTTCAGAATAATTTCTGACAGTTTCAAAACTGTATAAAAAAATGTCGTACACCAGCATTTTTTCTAAAATAAGAAAATGACAAACAAAAGAGAAACTCAAATAGAATTATGTTCAAATAAAACTGTTCAAAGGTTCAATACCATATTCCAGATCTAGGAGACAAGTTTGACAGACATTCTTGATCTTTGAACATGTTTGACAAACTTCTGTCTTTTTAAACCTCATACGTGCACCAGGACACCATCTGAACACTGTAAAAGGACGTGCACAGATTTTACACTCCTTTCCATATTTCTCTTTCATCTGAAAGGAACAAAATCAAATTAACAATACTTAAAATACACATGCAACATTAACAGATACACATTCACAACAAGAATTTAAATAGACAAGTATATTTGTAAAAGATTGTAAATTTTTATCTGTTTTATAACCAAATAACTATCAGACTTTGAAGTATTTGACGACAAATAGAACATAACTTATATGTAGCAACATATATGATGTTAGTGAAATAATAAACACAGTTGGTATAGGCTTAATGCATGGTTTACTTCGCCCTGGTGGAGAAATAGCCATATATACTTAATAATACAGTCCAACTTCTTCAATTTTTTAACCAAAGTAGTCCTCCATTTTTCTAACAGTATGTTATTACTGTTATGCTAATGGTGTTAAAATGTTATAAAGTACTTACCATACGTATGTATGGATTGTCTCCAAGACATGTTTGACATAAAATTGGGAAATCCTAGAACATAAACAAAACGACAAATTTTCAATAATGAACATACATATATATATTTCAACATCTCCAAATTAAACATTTAGAAATTCTTAAATAAATGTATTCTCTTTATAGATACATGTATACATTCTCTCAATATATCATGATCAGCCGATTAAGTTAAGTTTATTCTGGTACTGGATTTGAACAATCCTCTTCACCGAACTCAAAATTATACAATACATAACTTTACTGTACTGTATAGTACTTAATAATAATATAGACAAAATGTAGTTTGTTATTGTATTAACAGCAATGTAATCAGGTCCAGTACACTCTGCCGATTGAGCTATATAGCTGTAAAGACCGATAATAGCTCTATTGACCTATCTGAAATAGGTCTTTTGAGCTATTTTTTGAGTAATTTTCTTTTTTAAGGAAAACAAAACAAAGTCGCTTTTAAAAGAAGATTGTATCATTAGGTGGATAACAAAAGACATTAAATATAAGGATTCTTTTTATAAAATAATGATGTAAAAAAATCGGAAATTTTACATAAAATGAAAAATGAAAATAAACATCTAACTGTATGCTTTTTGTAGTCAACATTACCATAAACCTTAATGTTTAATGCGACTGCTTTAATTTAATGAAAATTGAAATCTGAGAAAATATAGCTCAATACAGCTATAATGTATAGGTGTATATAGCTATATAGGTCTTTATAGCTACATAGCTCAATCGGCAGAGTGTACTGGACCTGGTAATTTATATAGACAGTCTATTGTTTCTAGAAAATGTCCAACGTCGTGCCACCAGGTTGTTGCCTCATCTCAAACATCTAAACTATGAGGAGCGTCTGCGAGTTTTAGGAATACCTTCCTTAGAGTACAGACGTGAAAGAGCAGACATGGTAAACCTTTTTAAAATATGCAATGGACTTGTAGATGCCAACGTGGATAAATTCACAACTTTCGCGGACGGACAGAATGTACACAACACCAGAGGACATAACAAAAAACTTTTCAAGAAAAGATTTAGGACCAAACTAAGAGGAAATGCATTCTCCAACCGAGTGACTGAACCGTGGAACAATCTAGACTCCACCGTAATAAACGCTCCAACATTAAACTGTTTCAAATCAAGACTGAACCGTGCGTGGAAACACCACCCAGGAAAATTCAGCCCCGCATGCTACAGAGCGGGAGGTGCAGACCGGGAGTCCGTACCAGTAGAATTAGTAGAAGCGTCAATAGTAGTCTATGACTAATTGTATGACGTCGACAACGGTGAGTTAACGGTGAGTTTGTTTCCTCACTTTGAAACACAGGGGCATGGATCGCTTTACTTGTAATATAAAAAAATAGGGGTCTCCTATACTAATGTATATATTAGTATAGGAGACCCCTATTTTTTTATATTACAAGTAAAGCGATCCATGCCCCTGTGCTTTGAAACAGTGAAAAGGATATGTGGACAAAAGACGGATGAATACTATCTAGAAGCAAGGGCACCTGCAATGTCAGTGTCAGAATGCGAGGCCCTAATTGGTGAATTTCAAGTCTAGAAACAATACAATTAATATTACATTGAAATAATGTTAATCTTCGTTGCACCATGCTTTTTCCTTGGTTTTTGGGCAAACTTATTTTGAAAGCTGACAGGTACTGAAGCAGGATTCAGAAGGTTGGGAGCAAACAGGTAGGGGAGACGGAGGGGGCTTGCCCTAATTACTGGATTTTAGACTGCTTTAAGTTTTAAAAAATCAATAAAGTAACAAGTTCACCGCAAACTGAGGTGAAGTCGGTTTCAATGTTGTAATAGACCCTAAATTAACTGTTATTTATCAAACTATATTTTAAAATTTAATAACCACAAAAGCTCATTTTAGGGAAACTTATAAGATAAAAAAGGATCCATAAACTTACAGATTCTTCCCAGTTTTGTCGATTGTACGTATTTGCTCCTTTAGAGGCCGCCATATTGGACGTCTGTGCTTGGTTGTTCTAAACATTACAAAACGAAACGAAAACAATATTTTATTGCGATTTATAAAAATAAAGATATTTCTAATATATCAGTAAAAAAAATGAAAAATATTTAAGTTATTTTAAATCAAAGAGTCATTTATGTCTAATGAAGTGATTTGTTTTACATGCGTTTCGTATATTTATTCTTTGATCGTTTTGTAAAATATATGTTTTATTATAATCATCCAAGCGTTTGTTCTTGTCAGGAGTGTGAAGCATCTTGACGACTGGAGTTTGTTTTGGTGAATCATTTTCATGGGTTCATTTTAATAGGGTTCCGCGCAATAACAATATTTCTCTTTCTACCTCTAGGGATTTGAATAGTCGATATATTTAGATTGTGTATTTCTATATGCTATATTGAAACCGTTTTGTCAAAAGTTATTCCCCGATAATCACGACCAATCCGCTGATAATCTGTGCAGGTGAGGGTTTGTAGCACCAGGGTTTTTATTGTCAGTAATTGTGCCATTTACTTTATGTTATTCGTCGATTGTTCTAAATGTGTAGTGTTACTTAAATAAGATCATCTGCAGTAGTGCTAAAGCATACACTTAAATGTACAAAGTGTTATTCATTTTTAGACTACTGGATATTTTGACCAAATTGTGATTATTTATATAGCTTCTGCTTCTGTCTGGTAATATTGGGCACAACGCATATGGGTAATAATCCTGCATTCGGGTAACAGTTACCCATTTCAGTATTCATTACTGAAATGGGAAATAAAGTGAAATAAAAGCACACAAAGTTCGTTTACACATTATGAACAAAAAAGGGCGTCATTCTTTCAACATAATCAAATAAAAAATACAATTGTGTACAAAAATATGTAAATTCAGTTGTCTATATATTTGAAAATGACAAATTGTATCACCTCCATTGCTAATAATGTGTTGTAGAGTAGCTATAAATAGCACACATAAAAAAATCATGCTCACCCGTCGCATGTTCACTGGATAGTCCATTTGACTACACATTGAAGTCAATGGGGAACAAAATTAAGTCAATGATATGGTTTGTCCTTTTCACAAAAAGTTAGAAATCAAAATTGATAAATTTTTGTGCACAAATGTGTTATTTATTTGATTTAGTTGACAGAATGACACACTTTATTGCTCCAAGTGTTTAAAAGAACTTTGTGTGTTTTTATTTCACTTTATTCCCCCATTTCAGTAATAAAATTGTTACTCACATGGGTAACTGTTACCCAAATGCAGGATTATTATCCATATGCGCTGTTGTGCCCAACCTGATAGCCTCCTTCAACAGGATGAAGATTCAAAGAGCTGAAGCTAGTAGTATGAAAATAACTTCCTAATTGTTTTAAATTAGCTGCAGTTGTATGTGTGTTGTGTTTTTAAAAATAGTTTGTACTTAGTTATTCTGTTGACCAAGTAAATTGAATGAATAATGTTTATTAAAACCATCCAAGAGTGGTATATTAATGTAATTTAATTTTAATGCATTTGTTTTTATTTTTCGAATAACATCATTTTTTACTGTCAACCTAATCAGACATGTATATAACATAGTAATTCTTCTACTAAATTACAGTGATACTTATATTTCAATCTTTTCCGCTACAGTTTCTAGACTAGAAGAGATCATGTGAATCCTGAATCTGGAACCATGCAGAAAAACAATAAGTTAGCCGACTGAAGCAAACAACTTAAATATGTCATCCAAGGGAATCTTCTCTATAAGCTTCAATCAGGATCATGGTAAGACTAATATTCTACTAATTGTTGGACCAAAAAAAATACATATCTTTGTTTTGGGTTCCCGACCGACCCTATTCTAATCCCTGACTCTAAATTGAAGTCTTTGTCTGCCATTTACTAGAAGGCCCCAGTTTTAGTGCAATTTTTGTATCTTGGGCATTGATCATGATAGAATCAATTAATTTTGTCCCTACAAGGCTACAGAGCCAGCTCCCTAAAGTCTTAATTAAACTGTAAGGGAAAACACTGTCACACATATGCTTGTGTGTACAATTTTACAGTGAATGTGTAATCATATGCTGATAGTGATGCACCTTTCAGTATTCAGTGATAATAAAAGATATATATTTTGGTAAAACTGAACTATTTATGGATTATGATATCAAGTTTTCATATAAAAGGTATAAATTATTAAGAAAACTTGACAAATATAAAAAAAACAAGAAATAAATTTAACTTGAATCAAATAAAGAACAGAAATAGAGGAGAACATTTGTTTGATGCTTAGTCAAGGTCCCATGAATTTGTTTTTAAAGTGATGCTAAAACACAACCAATTTATAGATTTTTTTTTTATCTATTTCAGGTTGTTTCATTTGTGCCACAGACACAGGTCTGCGGATTTACAATGTTGAGCCTTTGACACAGAAGCTTTTTCTCAGTGAGTATAAGAAATTTTGAGCGATAAACAGTGAGTCAGTTATTGTTAATGTTAATATATATATATGTTGCTCATTGCTAATGTTTTCAAGCCTTCGGGTTATTACTTTAAATGTCCTTTACTAAAACAGACTATGACACTGTGGGAAGTCTGGCATGTGCCGAGATGTTGTTCCGCACAAACCTTCTGGCTGTTGTTGGAGGTGGCAGCTTTCCACGCTTTGATGAAAAAGCAGGTAATGATTACGTATATCTGGCACTTGTTGAATGTAAAATGCAGATTAGGTGATGATAAAGAAAACCTTTTTATGATATTTTCCAGTAAACAAGCATATTTTTTTTTGTTACATTGTTTTCAGAAATATTTTTCATAAAGGTTCAGAATCAGGCTATTGAGCTTCACTGATGTGGTTTTTATTATAAAGTTAATCAGTGATGGATGACAGTCAATTATGTCTTGATAATCAAGATTATCCAATCACTTAATTTCTCATGATCAGACTGATTTTGCCAGTACATGAATATTTTTCTATATTTTTCAACACTCAACTTCCACCTCACCTCATGCATCAGTACTAGTAGACAGTCGAGTAAGTTTTGTCAGTAGGGAATGATTTGCTTGTGTTGGCTGTATTCTGCCAGTACATCCTCTTGCTCCCTCTTTCAACACCCCACTCATTTATAGTGCTGCTGGATATTGGTAGATCTAATAAGTCCTGTCAGTTGGGATTGCTCTAGTGACCAGTTCAAATTGTCTTTTCTTCTTAAACCTCCCCCATTCAAACTTTATAAATAAAACTATCCTTTATCCCCCATGTGCTATATGTTATGCTCTCAGGATGACAGGATTTGAAATCCATTTCAATTCAAACTTTTATTTAAAGTTGGTACATTTATAACAATACAATATTATTAGCTTTAGTGAGTTATCAGCATATTGGTGGGTTGATATATGACAATGCAAAAAATACACACAAATGAAAACTTTATCTGAATGTTGAAGAAAATAAAAAAAAACACACCCAGATACTGGAATTTCATTTACAGAAAAGAAGACACAAGAAGTAGATAATAAAGCTATCAGAACTGTTATGTTATTTTTCGGTGATGTCTATTTTAACCATGTTCTATTTAAAAGTGCTGATTTGGGATGACTCTCAGAAAGATCCTGCCAAGAAAGTTGTCATGGAAATTACATTTGCCCAACCAGTAGTAGCTGTTAAAATGAAAAGGGAAAGGTAAGTAATCTGTCATCATGAAGAATTTAGTGTTAATTATCTTTTATTTCACCCCAGCTCTAATCTTTTAAGATCTTTACTTTTTATCGATGAAAAGACAGTGACATTGTGTGTTAAATTAGTGACATATAGTGTGTTAAGTTAGTAGCATAGTGTTAAGTTAGTGACATGGTGTTTTAAGAAATAGACAAGGTGTGTAAAGTTAGTGGTGTGTGTGTAAAGTTAGTGGTGTGTGTGTAAAGTAAGTGACATAGTGTGTTAAGTTTTGTGATGTGTGTTAAGTTAGTGACATATTGTAGTATGTTATTAGCATTATATGACATATGTTAAGTTGTACATGTTATGTGAGCAGCGATAGTGTGTGGTTAGTGTTTGGTTAGTGACACAGTGAAGTAAGTTAGTGGCATTATATGTTAAGTTAGTGTGTGATGGTGTGTTAACTTAGGTAGTGTTAAGTTAGTGACATAGTGTGTTAAGTTGTGTGATGTGTGTTAAGTTAGTGACATATTGTAGTATGTTAGTGGCATTATATGTTAACTTATTATGTGATGGTGTGTTAAGGTAGTGTTAAGTTAGTGACATAGTTTGTTAAGTTGTGTGATGTGTGTTAAGTTAGTGACATATTGTAGTATGTTAGTGGCATTATATGTTAAGTTATT